TAAGTAGAACTGTTATACATGCACATCATCAATCATTTTGTTATCTTTAACTATTAAGATTCTTATTTCTCTTTGATCCCTTATTGTCGGCATCAGATAGTTTTGGCATGTGTTTAGCTGGATATAGTTAGCTGATGACATTTTGATTAATATTTTTCAACCACCCTTTTGCTCATCATTGGTATTTTGTGCTCAGGTGCAAGTGATATCTCTTGTTCTTGGGAAGACACTGAAAGTATTTTTGTGTGAAATATGTATATCCAGCAGCTCATGTTAAAATATAGGCACTGACGTTGATTGTGACTTGTGGTTAAGTTATTGAAAGTAATTTTGTTGCATGCTCTTTTCTCAAGAGAAAGTGAACAAAATAAACGTGAGGGTCCCAATAATACAACAAGGTCTGGTTTTATCAGCGTAATTGGATTTGGAGTGTCCTTTTTTCTTATTTGTCTTTGTCTATGTTGGAGTTCGATAAGACTACTTCCTCAGATGTTTTCCGGGTGAGTAATACATTCGCATAATCATGAGATTGCAATTTAGTTTAATGGTTAAAGAGGAAATCACGTTTGTGACTGGTATTTTGCAAATAACCATTGTCTATTTTCTACATCTGATTACAAGAAATAAACTAACCAAACCATGGATAAATCTACAATCGTAAGACAAAGTACGTGCTACTAAGATTAGGAAAAACTGCTATGATATCACCGCTATTTTTGGATAAACATAATATCGACAATATTAAATTCAGTATAAATGATTTTCTTCAGCAATCAGGAAGGGGTTGTTTTGTTATAAATTAAACAGTTTACAGTGTGTGCTCATATATATAGTTGAAACTTGACATTTATATGTAGGGGATGTAGTAATTTTCTGTAACATCCAACTTTCTAAAAGTCCATTTATGTTGCTAAACATGTTTAACTAAGTCAATAAAGTATATTATGGGTTTGTGCTTATTTATGTTAGTTGAAAAGTGAAAATCATAAAAGTGCAAAAAAAAATGTCTAAGTGTGCACTATAGGGCCATATAGGGGAATCCATGTTCTTGTAGTAAATAAGTGAAAAATATCAAAGTTAGATTGGAATATGGACTTATGGATCGAATTAGAGGCTGAAATTTTATACTTAAGCTTCTTATAGATTAATTAAGAGATCTGGAAAGTTTTGTGCGAATCGGAGTTGAAACGACCAAGATACGCATGAGGGACTAAATCTGCCAACTATGTCAAACTAGGTTGACTTGTTGACCAAAATAGTACAAAAACGAGATTTTGACTTTTTAATGGTATTTTACACTCCAGAACCTTCACACACACTAGAAGGTGCGATTTTCACATAGTATTCTCCTCAAAGCTCAAAATCAAGGAGATTTAACAAGATTTTTGGCGAAATTGAACGATTAAACAAATGTACAACTCTATCTTGAACCCATTTCATGATTTGTTTGGTGTTTTGTTAAGAATTTGAGAAGTCTAGGGTTTCATGTGGTTGGGATTTTTGGTATTTTCATGTTATAAGATGGTTGTATAACATGATATTGATGTTAGATGGTGATAGTTTATGTTTTCATGCTATTATCGTAAAATCGGAACTATGATAGGTATGGATTTTAATAAATAAGTGTATTTCTTGTTAGAATGTGGTAATGTATCATGTTTATGATGGTAAAGATGAAATTTGGAGCTGTATGGGCTTTTATAACTTGCAAAAATGAAGATTTTCGAGTGAAATGGTAATGTAAATGCGCAGACTTTAAAATTTTGTATAAAATTGAAGAAAAATCGTATGAATATGAGATCAGTGTCCATGGAAAGATAACATAATGAACTACAATTCATCTTTAGACATGAAAATGTGAAATTGAAGTTAAGATGGGTAAAAACTACAACATGTAATGTGCTGTAAAGCTAAATTTTGACAGCTTTGAGCTGCTGTGTTGTAAATAATATAATAAATCACAGAAAAATCATAAAAATGTGAGGTCAGTTGCATTAGAAAGCTATAAGAGAATACTTTATTTAGTCTTTAGAAGTCATTGGCTAATTATGAGTTTAAGTGTGATAAAACATGGGATGAACAGAGGGCTATATAGGGGAAATGAAAGTAGGATAGTCAAGGTCTAAAAGTGTATAACTTGAGATTGGTATATAGTTTATTAATGATACTTGAAATGTTTACTCCAGGGGATATATTAAGGCTATTTAGAGCCTCTGAAGGTCTAATGCTATTGTTGGTTGGAATTGGATGTTACCGCGTTCGGTTGTTTACATTGAAGCACTGTGAGTTTATATCGAACTTATACTTATATGTAGTATATGTATATGCTTTCTTACTGTAAATTAGTTGATTTGCATGTGTTATCGAATATCTTGAGCGTGTCGAGTCCCATGGTCTTGAATTGGTATTTGTTGTTCATTCCGAGATGTCGGTCGAGTCTGGATTCGAGACCTTCTTTTTGTCTATAGGTAAACCATGATCTACGGGTATTACTTTGTGTGATATGCCGTAGCGTGGTGTATGTCCACGTATCCCAAGGAGAGGGAGGTTGGGTGTGGCATACCGGTTATCGTACTCACGTATTCTGAGTGGTAAGGAGTCGGGTGTGAGTACTTTGCACGGTCCCAGCAGATGAAGAAGGGGTGTGGTGCACATATTTACTCTACTCTTGTTGACCATGCTCCTGAATTATTACGATCGATATGGTTTCATTGACGCTAAGTACTTTGTGAGTTGTATGGCTTCTTGATACCTTGATTTGATCCGGTACCGAAATCATACATGTAACCCGTTGATTCCAATTTTTAATTACAAATTTGTAAGGTATGTTATGTACTCATTTATGGTTTAATTATGAATCAGTAAGTGTTCATTTGACGTATTAAGGATCAGTGAGTCGTTATGGTTTTGTTAACTCTATACGTGATATGTTCCGCAAAAATTTGAAAGCTAGAGATTAATCGGTTTTGCCTCCTAATTCTATTATTAATATATGTATATTGCATTTAATTTATATGCTTTGATATATACTCACTAAGTGATTCGCTTACCCCCTTAAGTTTAAAAATCTCAGGAAAAATCAATACGGGTCGAGATAAAGGCAAGGTGGGTTAGCTTTCGGTTGACACATAGAAGATTTGGAAGTAACTTTTGGTACATGTTTCGTATGTTTTTGATGTTTCAGGTTTGTAATTATTACTCGTATGTTGGGTAGTTATACTATTGTCCTGACTTTTGGTTTGTAAAAGTCTTAGTTTGTAAGTTGTTTAAACTATTTTCGAGGGATGTTTGACTTACCGGTCAAATTAAACTTAACTTTTGGTGGATAATTAGAAATCGTATCCCGTCTTGGATACGGGTGAATTTTTTTTTTTGATCGGTTAAATATTCCTGACAATTTGTATTTTTATTTTAGTGTAATCGTGATGTTACATTTTCAGCAGAATCTTGCTATTTCTAAGCTAGGTATGCACCTAGTTCGAGAGCTTATCAGTGAAGTTTTAATTAATGATGTTGTTTTAGGATGATTAAAGGGATGTTTGGTTAAAAGTATTAAACATTTGGTTTTATATAAATATAATGGGCCCATGAGGCTTTGTTATTTTCATTTTCATTTCTTTGTCTGAACTCCGAAGTCCGAACTAGACACAATAGTCTACTAATTTGGGCCACTCTGGAGTCTGGACTCCTTGAAGATTTTCATTTGTTGGATCATTGGGCCATTTTGCTTGGATCCAAAACAAAAAACCAAGGTTTTAAGGCCCAATAATTTTGGGTTATTCATCATTTTTGGTGTAGGGGGGTGTTTGGGATTGCTTATTTAAAACAACTTATGCTTTTTTGTAAAAGTGCTTATTAACTTATGTGGTATCAAACTGGAGTTTTGTAAAAAGTGTTTGGATTAGCTTATAACGGTACCAAAAAGCAATAAGTTGATAAGTTGGTTTTTAGTGTTTGGCAAATTTGGCTTATAGGTGTAAAATTACCAAAAAGCAATAAGTTGATTCTGATAAGTCAGGGGGGATTGACTTATCAAAAATGACTTATTACCGGTTTGGTACCGGGATAAGCACTTTTTTTTTTTTTTACCCAAACACTCCAAAATAACTTATCTCCGGTACCGAACTGAAATAAGTTAATAAGTCATTTTGAAAAGCTTACCCAAACACCCCCTAGGTTGAATTATCTTAAAGTTAAAGTATAGTATTGACTTGTGTATAGCTTAGTATAGAAAGAATTTTGGTTGAGGATAGGTGGGTTTTAAAGATTTTATGGAGGCATGGTGATAGACTTTTATTAGCGGTTTCTTTAATCATGAGTTTCTGCACTGATTTACGTATACCGACTAGTCCATGGACGATCACGAATGACTTGAAGTTATTGCAAGTGAACCTCCATGGTTACAAGGCTTTGACAGCACCTGGATTTGAAGTTTGAACTATGGATGGAATGTAGATGAGATTTTCCACTATGTTCCTTGAGACTTAACCGGTGCATCACAACCCAAGTGATTGCAGTATTTATTAGCTGTCTTCCAAAAACATGTGTTGGATATTAAATTGTTGTTGCAAGGAAGGAAAGGGAGTCTTCAAATTTTAGATGAATATTACAACATTGATTCTTATATTAAAATATTTCCTACATTTAAAAAATCAATATTTATTTCTCCTAAACATTTAATTTCACAGTTTCTTATTGTTGTAAAAATAATAAAATTAGGAGAATTTCACAGTTTCTATCATAGTCGAGGGGTAACTCGAGCTGCTATCGAGTACCGACATAGCGTAATCGAGGCCTAACTTAAGAGTTGTCGGTTCCAAACCATTTTTTATAGGATGCGTGTGATACGCGGTTAAATAAAATAAAAATACTAGAAAACAAATAATACCAAATATTTTTCAAAATCGAGCAAAAAGTCTTTTAATATTCATCGATTCTTTTCAACGGAAAAAATATCTCAGGAATATCG